GACAGGGACACCGCAGTGACAGGGACACCGGGACTGGGCACTAATGGCCCCCTGACAGGGACACTGCCCCGACAGGGACACCACACTGACAGGGACATCACCCTGACAGGGACACAGTGACAGGGACACCGGGACCGGGCACCGATAGCACCCTGACAGAGACATCACAGTGACAGGGACACTGGGACCGGGCACTGATGACACCCTGACACAGACACCGCCCTGACACAGACATCATCTTGACAAAGACACTGGGACCAGGCACCGATGGCACCCTGACAGGGACATCACCTTGACAGGGATACTGGGACCAGGCATCAGTGCCACCCTGACAGTGATACTGAGACCAGGCACTAATGCCACACTGTCAGTGACACTGGAAACTGGGGACTAATGTCACCCTGTCAGTCACACTGGGACTGGGCACTGATGTCACACTATCACTGACGCTGGGACCCAGCCTGGAAAATGTGGCACTACTGTAACACTGCCACAGACGCTGGAACCTGGGCTGGATACCTTGGCACTAATGTCACACTCTGTCACAGACACTGGGACCTGGGCCTTGGCTCATGCACTGCTGAGGCTGAGAGGTGCACGCAGCACTTGCAACTTTTTAGTTGGTCTGTGATCCCTCCATTCCTGAGCTGCAAACACAACCCACGTGCTTGTCTCTTTTTCAGCTTTTAACACTGAGCTCTTTCAGCTGGTCTCAAATCCAGAACTGAACAGGAGACTGTCAAAAGCAGATAGGAGGATCAAATTCCTGGGCACAATAAAGCAGCCTAGTGCTCTGGACTTTGGCATCAAGTGCAAGGTAACAGCACACAGATGTTCCAAGGTAACAGCAGAGACTGATGTTGCCTACAAACCCACGCAGCTGCAGCTGGTTAACACAGGCTCTCCCTTCCACTTTTCCATTACCTCAGATGCTGAGCTTCCAGATCCCATTCATGTTTGCCCTGAAGTCTATGTGGTCATTTAAACAGTGGAAAGCTGGAATTAAATAGTTGTGTGTGTAACTGTCATTTTTTATATTGACAGAGAAGAGGGTATTCATTGTACAAATGGTGGTGTCTCACTCCCACACTGACCATTCCTCCTGCAAAGTGCTCCACACAACATGTTGCACAGAGATGCAGAACCCTGACTCTGTCACAAACACACAGCTCTTGCCTGTTCAAAAAAGGACTCTACGGGATAGAAAATCCCTGTTTACCACAAAGACTGATTTAATAAAATGAAAGACATTCAATAAAGTTAAACAAAGACCAGATTTTTGTTCATAAAAGGCACAGATCTACTTAGGATATCAGTTCTATGTTAATTGTTTCTTGACAGTTATCCCAAGATCTGCAGAAGCTGGAATACACTTTTAGCCACTAAAACCAAACCCCTACAAACAAAGGTTAAATCTAAGGGAGTGTTTCTTATGGGTGAAACGCAACGAGAGGCTGAATGAGCAAATTAGGTTGGAGGTGCTTATATCTATTGAACATTAGATTGAACACTGACCTCAGGCAGTTCTAATGCGTAAAAGAGCTAATGAGATTGCTCTGACTGCATGTCAGGCAGTCCAGGGCAGCTTAAATCAATCATTAAAAGGTATAAAATATAACAGTCTTTTTAAGTAAAAAATTCTGGGCCAAGTTAAACGCATGAAATTTCTATTTGCAGTAGGAGCTGATGTAGCTCTCTGAGTGTACACCTGGGCCCCTCCAACACCAAGTCCTGCAGGAAAGCTGGACTGAGGAGACCCTGGTTCCTCTTTTCAGGTGGACAGACCATCCCTCCCGCAGCCTGTAAGGCAGGATGCATTTTATGCATATCATGAGGGGACAAAAAAAAAGGGGAAAAAGGCATATAAACATATATACATGCTTTGATACCAGCTCTGTGTAAGAACCTTGTAAATCTCACAGAGAGCCAGTGAGCAAAAAATGCTGTTGTGTGGAAGATACTCTGTTGTGATCAAGGAGACTAAGGTAAACCATCTCCTGACTCCTGATAATTACAAACAGAGCACTGGCCCAGTTGAGGTTGCTACTGACTCTATTTATCAGGACACCTGTGACATTCATCATCTTTAATTACGTATACTTCAGTGGGTATTTCTCAGTAAGTTCCAACATACTTTGCAATGGAAAAAATATATTTGAAGACTTCATAGAATCACAGCTGAAATGGACCCGTGAGGGTCATCTAGTCCAACACCCTGCTCAAAGCCAGTCCATTTAGCTCAGGTTGCTAAAAGCCCGTCCTCTCAAATTTTGACTATCTCCAAGGCTGTAAGCATGTGGCACAGCCTCCCTGGCAATCTGCTCCAGTGCTTGACCGTTCCCATAGGGAAAATGTTTGTTGTTATATTTAATAGGAATTTTGCACATTCCATGCTTGTGTACAGTCACTGTGCACCTCTGAGAACTGCCTGGGTACACCCTGCCAGGAGGGAGCTGAGGACAGCAATAAAGGTGTCATACACGTGGCTAATGTGCAAATACACTTATTACCAAGAAAAAGGGAGAAACAGACTGTCTCATAGGAGAATGAGTAACCAGACTGACAGACATGAAGAGGAAGTTCATCAATGGTAAATTTACCGTACCATTTTCAAAATCTGCTCTATGTCATTTTGTAGCACAAATTCGGCAATATTTTGTCAGGAAACAAACCAGAAGGAATGATGGGCACTCCTGTGCACTTCCTCACCCCAATAATGCATTAGTGATTATTTCTAAGCAGGTAAATTGACAGACGTACCCAGAGCTCTAGATAACATCTCAGTTTACATACCTGGTTTTACAAAGTGTGCCACCCATCCTATCTGATATTTCACAGCATGCATGGAAGAGTCAGAAAGGGACTTAGCAGTGAATCATACTGTACTTCCCTTTAATGGTCTAGCAACAGAGTATGATTGACATAGTTTCAGAGAGATCAATGAACATTTTAGCCAGAAGCTTACTTGTGTCTAATGTAGGAGCAATAACTTTGCTCAATTCTATTAGTGCTGTCTGTACAGAATGCCCTGCCCTAAAACTCATCTGCCACTGGGATACAATCCAATGTTTATTTCCATTAGTTTAGCCATTGTTGGTAACAATAAAAATCAGAAGACAGTTGCAAACTAATGATTTACGGGCAGAATGAAACACGGGATGACCTTGGCTGCCTTCCATCCACCAAGAAAATGACTGGTAGTTAGAAATAAATTAAAATTATTGCAAAAGGATAACATAAGTTATTTCTCCGATAGGTAATTTTACCAGCTAAATAGCCCTGTCATTAAACTAGCAGCTGTTGTACAAATTATATTCCAAGATAAAAAAAGAAATTACAGCTTCCATGGTTGTTGCAGCTTTAAGAATGATGAAAAACCCAATTCTATAGGAGTCGACAGAAAAGGAGCTCTTGTGATAAGGCTGAACACAGAGTCTTGGCTGGACTGTGCTCAGCTGAATTACTCTTAGGAAAGTTAAGCAGAAAAGATCAAGTAAGTAGATCTATTATCAGAAATGAAATTCCTTTACAGGTGATTCCAGAGGAAAAAACCAATCTTCCCTGACTGGGATTTGTAGTTAATGAAACTTCAGAACTTTGTTTTGCAATTTATGTTACTCTGATAAAACAAAACCATATACTCTGTGCATAATTTTTGATAGTGACTGCACTGAGACTTCTTTTCCTTTTACCTTTACCCATTTTAGACAATTCTTGTTACTGTGGTTGTTAATGTTTCTCATATTTTGTGATGTCCTGTACCACTTTTCAGTATTTTTTGCCTTGACTGCCCTCATGCTCCACTCCTGTTTAATGACCTCTTTTTTGGTCAATGGAGAATAAATAAAAAGGCAATCTATTCAAACAGTTGCAGTGGGGTACTACAGAGAACAAAGTGGTGGTCCGTGCAACTATGATTTATAAAATATATTCTGGTTTTCAGATGTATGGCCAGCCAAAAATCCACATCTGGAAAGAGTTTTCACATTTGCAAAAGTACTTCTCCAATGTCAGTCAGGAATGGAAATGTACTTATAGTTGTGATACCCTGTCACTGGTCAAAATATACAACTGACAAAAGAAATTCAAAAAGATGAGGGGAGGTTGCATCTTTCCTGCTTTTTCCACGAACAAGCAATCCTTTAAAAAGGTCAAGGAAGATGATCAAACAAAAAAGCAAAAAGCTGGCAGAATTTTAGACATTAAATACCATTAGGAGCCATTTCTCCCATCAGATGCTGTACACAATGTTAATGTGAATATTATAATGCTGACAACTTGTTCTTGACTGAATTATGAAGCTAATAATTCACAAATAAAGGATGCAGCACTTGTGTCAATGTCTACTGTTGCTAACTGTAGTGAATCAGTACATTTACCTGATATTATACAGCTGAGGCATTTGTTTGGCAGCAAGTCAGGCCAGAAAGAAGGATTAGCATGCTGTCATTTTTCTACACACCATATTTTTCCATAGCTGATGACACTTGAAAGCTACAAGAGAACCTGCCCTGTTTTGTCAGATTTACTCCTCTCCCAGTGCAGTATTTCTTTGTGTTTGATGCACAGGTTGCTGTAACCATCAGAGCTCAGATATTTGGCAAGCCAGGCTCAGAATGGAGAGCAGCAAGGGCAGCTCCTGAACCTCACCTGGGATAACGAGCCCACCTCTACTATGAAATAATAACACCACAAATTGTTTAGAGAGTGTTGTCTGGCTGTATAACACAGTTCCTAAAAATTAATGTTTTAAAATTTATGATTGTAAAGAACTTCAGTATGGTCTGACAGACAAATTACTGTACTGGGACTCAAGAAATCACTGATTTGCTTAACATGTTTGGCCAAAGGATAATCTCTCCCCTTTAAAATGGGGTATATACCATTTACCTGGTAATTTCACAATTAGACAGAACCCTGAATCACTAAATATCATTGTGCAAAGGTGTCAAGAAGAGAACTGCAGTTTTGCCACTGAAGACACACAGTTGGAAGTAACTAATTTTCGGCAATTTTGTCAAGCCTAAGGTTTAGAAATTTGTTATGCTTAATGTGAGAGACTCAAAAATGATACACTGTCAACAGGTCTTCCTAATTTTTCACACAGACAGGGCAACTCACCACCACACCAAGAGTTCATTGCAGAATCTTAGGCTGAGATCCAGGAGACCTCGAACTAAATCTAAGAAGACAGTTGGGGACCTGAATACTGACTGATGGTTTGACAAGAACTTTAGGGTTCCTCTGGAAAAGATGGGCACCTTAATCTCTGCTTCAGATTATGCCCCTTTTGGGGCAGTTGGTCTGCTCTGGGACAAGCTGCTTCTCCTGTCTGCACAGGCCCTTCAGCTTTTTGACTGCCTGAGCCGTTCAGACTTACAGGTCTCCCCATTTTGTATTTGAAAGGTACCTACCACAAGCCAGGCGTGGGAGTTGAAGCTAGAAATCTCCAGGATTTATTTGAACATCTATCTCATAGTTACCCCTACAACTGAAACAAGAAGTAAATCCCCTGGGGGGCTCACTGTGTTGTGGTTTGATGGTCACCTGAACACTTGCTTATCCTGAGCCTCAACATCCATCCCCGGCTCCTACTTTAACACAAGTTAGTCAAGAACTCGTTTGCATGAGACAAACTGCAAAAACTCCTGGCTCATTGCCCAAACAATGGTTTTACACCTTTTTCATGTAGATATATTTGAGATATTTTAAGCTTCACCTTTCCTTACCTCATAACTGAATCACTGAACATTTAGGGGCCTGGGAAGAGTCTTAAATCTTGACTCGTTTCCAGGAACTAGAAGCTTCTCTTGCAACATTTTGAGCTTGCCAAGAGTCTCTGACTAACCTACAGGGAAGCTGCCTTCTGCATTTAAAACAGGGAGATTCATTAGTTTTTAACTGCATATAATTTTCCTAGGAATACAGCCTTAATGCAGCTGCAGTCTCCAACAATGGCAGTGCCTTTTGCACGTTCTCAGTACTGTGTCAAGCTAGCTGCACTCACTCAATAAATTACACACTGGAACCGTTCATTTGCTGTTCCTCATATTTGTTTCCCTCACCTTAAAGAACACAAGCCCAGCAGCAGAGGCAGCCACTGCTGTTTGACAAACACCACGCTGACAAGATCCTGGCTGCAGCCACTGCCTCCTTAGCACCGAGACCTGTCACCCTACAACAGAAGTCCCAGTGGTACTTCTCAAACCAGCAGTACATGAACTGTTTGATTTGCCTTGACAAGCTATGTGTAAATAAAGACATAACTGAACTTTACCCCTTGTTCTTGGCAGATCTGGGTTAGTCTTTCCAGCTGCTCATCTTGAATAACCTTTGCCTTCTCATATTGCTGAATCATCATCTCCATCTCCACTTTCACTGGAAGGACATACGCTGGAAAACACAAACAACACTTAAAGCAATCCAGCTGTGATTCGTTTTTTTATCAGAGAGAAAACCTTTACAGGCCAAAGAACATCACCCTTCTCCCTTGCATCCAGACAACTAGAGTATTTCTAATAGAAACAGCATGAGGGTACTTTTTCCAGGGATGGATTTCTAACAGGGGAAATGCAAGGACTAGATCTTGTTTAGTCAGATCTCCCTTTGCCTGGACGAGCTGAAATAGATGCTGCATGCTCTTCCCAGCTTCTGTGGCACTAACATAGATCTTTCCCAGTGTTTACCACAGATTTCCTGAATTGCTGGGTAGGAGGATTTTCTCTTTAGAGTCAAGACCCATCCCCTCTAAACCTGAACAGCATGGCTCCCTCAGGAAAAGAACTATTCCAGAGCCCTAAGCATTTAATTCCTAGACTTTGCGGTAAGAAATAAATCCTTAATGGAAACACCAGACTAAGAAGGGTATTTTTAAAAAACAAAAAAGGCATTTATCTTCTATTGCTTTGCAATCTACAGACCAGTTTTCAATAGATCTTCTGAATGCCTCTAGAAATTTTGCTCCTGTCTTAACTATGGCAAACTCAGACTGAACAGAATAACTGTTCAATACATGCTGCAATCCTTGATGCTCTCTGAAGTCACACAAGATCCTGAACTTTTCTTGTATGCTTCAATCAGAGGGCTATGACCTGTACTCAACTCTGAATACAAAGTTTCCCGGGCATTTAAACCCAAAATAATAACTTGACTTTGATCTTTCACACATGAGCAAAGTGACCCTTCATTTATTCCCTTTCCACCTCTTTTCCCTGACACAAAGCACCAAAGTCCTTCCTTCCAGGCACAGCCACAGACTCTGCTCTCTGCAACCTTGACTTGCTGGGGCTTTATCGTCTTCCCTGGTGCTTCCCCACAGAGGTCTGTGCAAAACACCACCAATACACACTTCATTATCATGCTGTAGAGCACACCAGCACTGCAGAGAGCACCTTCAGCTGGGAACCCCCATGGTAAGAAAATGCTGCTGGAATCTGACCTGAAACTTGTATTACTGCCAAGAACTTGGAAAAGAAAGTCTCAAGATGGAGCTGGCTGTATGGTTATGGGGAGGGTGCAGCAAATATCAGAAAAGCAATCAGGAAGCAATCAGGAAGCAATTATTTTGCAGAATCAGGAATGATATCTGGTGGCAAGAGGCATGAAGCAGGTCAGGGCATTTGGTTTACAGGACAGGGGATGGGATGGTGCCTAACAGCAAAACAAACCCCTGGATTATAAAGGCTCCCAGGGAGCAGGAGATGCAGCCATGATCTTGGGACCTACTCTCCTTCATGGGAATTGTAACTCTCTTCTGTTCAGTGTTAGCAAAATGTAAGAGAAAGGAGAATGACAGAAACAGTGGTGGCAAGCAATCTTTCCGTATTTTTAAAATCTCTTTTCCCAGCCTGCCAGGTAATGCTTGGAGTCACAAACTGAGTCACCACTCACCATCAATGATCCTCTTCACTCTCCATATCCGCAGGGTGATAATTAGGCTGATAGCATCCCATGGGCTGCTGGGGCCATTAGCCACTGTTGAGGCCACCATTGGTGCCAAGGACAAGATTATGACAGCACCATCAAACACCTAGAGAGAAATCACTTTTTTTCAAACCTTTCCTTAAAATCATATCCCTGCCATTCCTCCTTGGAATCTTGAAGGACTCCCTCTTTGCCCAAAAGAAATGCAATTATGGCACGTATTTGAAAGGCATATGAGAGGTGGCCAAGACCCAGCCAGGCTGCATCCTGTTTAGGTAGCACAACAGAATTCCTCACTGCTTTTTATGAGGTGAGGAGAGATAAACTGTTGTTAGCAGGGCAAGGAGAGAGAAAGGTATTTGGAAATACTGGCCAAGATCCCCAAGGAGAAGTGGTAGCCTAAATGCTATTACAGCCAAAGAGTTTTATCATCATTGGTATTTATTACCTGTTACTTGGCATAATGTCATCCAAAAAAAAAAAAGGATGCAGTCCCTGTCCATAGATCTTACTGTCTAAATGAAGAGATCAAGAAGACAAGTAGAAAAAGATGGAGCAAAGAGACTTGATGGCTCTTGGCCACATCCTGACTACACAACACGTGTGCATCTAGACAGAAAGACTGCCTGCTCTCACTTTTATAGGGCAGAGAGGTTTTCAAGGATTCTGACAACTGGGACCATTCAGAATGATTTATATGACATTGGTTACATTGGGATTAGATCAGAAAAAGCAATTGTGCAAAGCATTAGACAGAAATGAGCTAGTAAATACATTTCAGAGCAAACTGGCAATAGAGTTGTGTCTGTCCCACACTGGCCTAGCAGGGTAGAAGAGAATTCCATGTTCCCATTCCTACTGAGAACCCTTCCCTGCTGCCAAAGACCACTGATTAATGGTTTGCATAAGGAGGCAGGACATAGATTTTTATAAGAATTATGTATTTGGAATTGTGCATAACAATTCATGTGTATTGAAAAGAAACACTCCTTACTGCTGCCACTTGATGGGCAGTAAACAGTATCACTCTATTCCAAATTATCAAAATGAATTATCAGAAACTGCTGCATTCAGCCTTAATAAGAAGAGTCTCTGAATCAACATTTAAGTTTCACTTCAGTTTTTTAGGAAAACAATTTAAAAGGTTTACAACTTTATTACAAAAATGTGCAAGCCTCTAGACTTGCTTAAGCTCCAAGAACACCCAGATTTTCTTCTGGTACATCCTGTACAGTATTATTTTATCAGACAGTATCAAGAAGGAGGTTTTAATTCTCCTGATCTCCAGATTTGTGCTCAAGATTATGTGTTACTTATAACACGTGCATTTCCTTATCTGTCTATGCACATTCTACCTAATTTTTAATTTGAGGTACAAATTAGTGTTTATCATAATTCAATTTAATTAAAAGAAATTTCACAATAAAAATAGGGGGTTTGCCAAACCAGTACTTTCTATCAGAAAACCACATACAATTTTTCAACCAGTTCTAATTTCACTGATCACAGGAACAGGGATACACAACTCACGTGACAATTTTTATTCCTATTGCTCATTATCCCAGGGCAGCAGTATCACCAGATTAGCACAGCTCAAGAACAAAATAAATACACACAAAGAGCAAGAATGCCACAATCCCTCCCTTCATAAAATATTTTCAAATATTGCACTCTCCTGAGTCTCTCACAGAAAAAGGGACTCCATCACACAAACTAGGGATACTTGCATATAAGATGAATGTGTGTATTTATCTGGTTAAAAGACATTGTATTGCATCAGGTTAATAACAAAGCCACCCAAAGCAGTTCTTCATAGTCTTACTGGGTCTGCCTGGAAAACAGCACCAAGAGTCAGAGTTCTTACCTCTATTTTGTTTTCAATGTAATCCCATATGCCAAGGACCACAATCCTCAAAATAGTCTAGTAAAATAGATTAGGGGGAAAAAAGATGATGAATGTTATTGTAATTTTAGATAAACATTTAAGCCCTTTATTCATTCAGGGAATCATTTTTTGTCTTATTTAAGCATTATGCATTTCTTATAAATAATAATGAGGCCCTAGAAATAGCTCCACTTCTGTATTATACAAGCAGGCATTGTTTTCCAACCACTATATTGACTCAGTGAAACCTCCATGAACAAGCTCCAAGTTGAAACGTTCATCAGTCTTTCCCATCCTCCTAAAAATCTGCTTTCAGATCTGTGTGATTTCGATTACCAGCCCTCCCCACACTGCCCCCCTGACCCAAGCCTACATAAGATCAACTGTGGGGCCTCCTCAGTTAGAATGGGGGAAGATTCTCTTTTCTGGCCATCTTTGATACATCAGTGACTACTTATTTTCTAAGAGAAGAGACACTGTCCTCTCCTGATGCCTTAAAATACTAACATGTCATCAGTCTGAAGAGCAGATGCTCTTATCTGGAGTACAGGACATTTGTCTTATTATAAGATCCCAGAAAGTCACAGGGTAAGGGAGAAAAATATCTCTGTGATCCTCCTCTATGAAGCAAAACAGCTATAAGTAGCCTCAATAGCCAGAAAAGAGGAATAAAGAAAGAACACAGAATGAACCAATGGTGAATTCCCATTAAAAAAAATCCAATGGCACCTTTCCTTATTTTTAACCTGGCTTTCAGAAGACACAATAAACGAAAAAATCAGTCAACTCATGATTGAAATGGAACTCACATAAAAGCATAACTGGTAGGGATGTTTTCTGCCAACAGCAACACAGAGGTCAGATTTTGATAGACATGACAGACATGATGAGTCCACCTGCAGATGTGAGCCTTGCAAAGATCACCAAAATGCCACTTTCTCCCTTAAAGAACAGCATAAGGACTGAGGGCTCAGTAGGCCTATGTTTGAGGGGTAACCATGCCAAGAACTGTGCAGAAAAAAGTGACTCCTCTTCATTACAAATACAAATCCCAAGCAACTGAATTTATGCCAAACATACCAGCACTAACTAATTGCAGAACAACACTGAATTTCTCAGTGATGTTCCAATGCATGGTTTTGCCAAACCCCATGAGTCCAATTGCCTCATTTGGCCTGGGATGACTGTGCTGAGTTCTCTCTTGGCACTCCAAACCTGTGTAACAGCACTTAATTCTGTTTTGCAGAGGGAGACATTGCTGTGGGGAATATGGTGCTTCCAGAGCCCAGCCTCCTACCATCAGCAAGCAAGAAAATGAACCAGGCAACACTTAGTCAGAAATGGTGTATGCAAAAGCACTGGCCAAGTCTGGTTGAGAAAGAGGGTCACCAGCCAGAAGAAAAAATGCAGCTCTCTCTTTTCTCTACAAAAAATTATGAGACTCTACGTAGACAGCAAGAACTGCCAATGCTTGCTCCTCCTAAAACCAACATTTGACTTCCAAAGCATTTTACAAATGCAGTATAGGAATAAGGCTGACATCCCTTTCCCTGTTAACGTCTGCTCTCGAGGTTTATTTGCTTTGTGGAGGGAGAGATGCACAACAGCAGCTGCTCAAATCCCTTAATGACCCCAAACTGGCCAGCATGATGTGATGGCATGTAGGTGTAAGTGCACGTGCTGCTGACCAGCCAAGGCACTCCTGCAGCCCCAAACTCGAGGCTGAACACTGCCAGACAAAGCATCCCTGCTCCTCTGTCAGCACCTCCCTCACTCCCCACTGAGAAGCTGCACAAAATAGTCAAGTCCAAGTTAGCCATGAACCTGTAAGTTCAGCTGTATTAGTTAATCAGGGATACACCACAGCAAGGCAGCCCTGGGGAGACACATGAGGAAAAGCAGAGCCTTTTATAAAGCTTGGGATGCCACCCTTCCTACAGCCACACTGCTGAGGGCACAGGGAGATCTGGCTCATTCTCTGCCAGGCTTAGGCAGGGTTTATGAAGTGCTAGGTGGGTGAGTAACTAACTACAGGATGGCTGAACACTTAACACCTTCAAAGAAACTGAGGGTGAAAATCTTTCTTCCTTTGGACAGGTGTGCACAAAGGGATTTTCACTGAAATAAGGCATATCTGCACAAAGGAAACAGAAACACCATCTCACAACCCTAAATATGATTTAACATGGGACTGTTGAGGGAACATAAAACCGGATTTGCCTTTCTGCCTTTTTAGTTCCTCACTGCAGTGTTTAAATCAGACTGTGCTACTGTCACATCACCGGGTCTGAGCAGCTCCAAGGGCTGGCAGCTGGCACAAATATTGTCATTTGCAGTCTGCTGCTGAGTCAGCACACGTCAGCAGTGACTGGAAGTCCACTTGGCAGTCATTTAATGCAGGATTGGTTGGTGGTGCTACCTCTGGAAGAGAGGTCTCCTCCTCCCAACACATGCCTTGCTGATTAGCACCTTGGCTCCCACCTAGAGCAGACACACTGCAGGAAGGTGAGTGTAAGGGTGGAACGAGCCCAGCTCCCCATCCCAGAGAGACTCTGCAGAACAAGCTGGGCACAACTTGGGGGGGAGCTGAGAAAACATTTGTTCTGTATGGGAGGTCTCAAAGCCACTCTTAAAAGCCCTCCCATCACCAGTGAAGTGACAAAAGCCACGAGAGGCAGCCTGTCCTTGGTTCCCTGAGAAAGCCCCATGAGTGAGTCCCACAGGTGCCCCAGGGTGGCTGTCCCTGCCCACCCTGCACCAGCACAGCTCCAAACCAGCCCTGGCTGTCCCCACGCTGCCTCTCTGTGCACAAGCTACTAAATGACACCCACTGCTGCTGCCACAACTCTTACCCAGAGCAGGCTGAATCAAGCAAATCTGGGCATATCCCTGATTGCTCAGTATAATAAATACTTCGACTGCAACGAAAACATTGGTACTACTTATATACAACATTTTCGTGTTTTTCCAAAAGCAATCAAAAATATGTTTCAAACAAATAAATATAGTGCATTTGCTTGTATACTGTCTCTGTACAGAACTTTAAAAAATGAGAACCTGTAGCAGAATCTGAAAAAAACAGAGACAGAAATTAATAATCCAGGAAACTTCCTATGCACTGTACAAGGACCAAACTGAAAAAAGCATATGAATTAAAAGAGAATTGCAAGTGTAACATCCATCACAGACAAAACAAATGTTACTTACGACTCTACCATTTGTAGGCACAAGAATCTACAAGAAATAGGGAAAAAAATGAAGCAGCACTGCTGTTTCCTACTGATGTGCAGGCATTTTTCAGCACTGTAGCAAATGCACACACATAGTTTTGCATTGCACTACAGGCATTCTGCATTTTTGAACACACAGATTGGAAAAAAAGCCATTAAGTATCAATGTGAGCACTTTTCTGTTAAAGGCCACTGCCAGCTTGTTTTTTTGTCCTTGAAAAAGAAGGCTTTAACATTTTTGGACTGGAAATCTTTTAATTAGAAAGTCCTTAACGCACACATTTTTTAGTTCTATCAGAAATGCATTGTTAGGTTTCTGCTAAAAGTTAAATTACTATGTAAGAGTCTGTCCAGTGCACTAATAAAAGGTAAATGATTGAACAGTTCTATTTATTTATTTAAGTTGGAGTAAATCCAGGTAAAATTTTAAACCATTTTTCAGACAGAAATGCAGTTTCAGAATTGACAGTGTCTCTTGGTGACACACAGTCATTTGCATGACATTAACTGTCTGCAGCAAAGTTGGGATGGACTGTGTGACGCTGCAGGTTTTCTCTCTAATTTTGTAGGGAAGCTTGGCCAAGTCCTTTGCTGAGCCAGCAGTGTGAACTCCCACAATCTGCATGAGTTTGCTACATTTGTCAGCTGACTGCATGGTACATTAGGTAATTTTAAGTACTTTTCTGCTTGCACAGTTAATATACAACTTACTACTCAGTGAGTCACTGTGTCAGATTCACCTGTAGAGTGAAGAAATCAGAAATCACAAGGTGGCAGCACAGGAGGAGAAGCTGGTCCAGCAGGGTTTGGCAAAGGAGAGCAACTCTGCATTTTGAGACGGGGTAGTGATTGTACAAGAGAGAGACAGGATGGAGACGGGTGGAAAGGATGCTCCTTCCACTGCCACAAAACTAATCTATCTGCTACAGAGGTTCCAGAAACTCTGCAGATTAAGCTTCTGCTTTTGGATATATCTCATAAGACCAAATATTTATTGAAAGCTTTTCCAGAACAGGGTGTACCCAATCTGTAATTTACAACTCCCCCTTATTTGGGTCACTCCACAGAGGCCTTAGCTCACCCAGTCATTAAAAGAATCTTCTTTTGCCATCTTCTGGTGTGCCTGTCCTGAGCCACAGCATTAGCTGTCCCAGCACACGCTGCCCCCAGGCCAGCAGAGCCCAGGGGAACGTGCTGGCACATTTCAACCAACACAGTCCTTGTGTTTGCAGGGCACAGGCACCCTCCTCACACGGCTTCTCTTCCACCAGGGCTCTGAAATGAAATGTGGACCTGCTGACCTCACCTCACCATCACCCAGCACAAACCATTCCCTGTGCCTGTGCTCTGTAGCTGCTGGGCTCTATCAGCACACGTGGTCACACAGAAAGAATTAAGTGCCAAGGTTTGGTGGCACTAACAGACACAAACCCAGTTTATTCTCTCATTAAACCACCAGGATATCATGTAGTATCCAAATGCACCTTTGCACAAACACTGCAGTTCTATTTGTTCTTTTGTTCTCCCATAATATTCGTTCTTCAAATATGAAGAAAAACAGGGAGTTTTCAACTGACAATTCTGTACAGATGTATTTTCAGGAAAAAAATGGCTTCCCAGAGACTCAACAGACTACCACAGATGGAGGCTGGGCAGAGAACTGGCCTTGCAACACAAGTTCCCTCTGGGTACAGTCACACCAGCACTGATGCTTATCTCTGAAACACAGGTGTAGGAGGTGCTGCAGGGCCACTGTCAAGAGATGAAAGCACAGATGAAGCACTGATAGAGCACACCCTAAGTCAGGTACACCCTTGAAAATTAAATGGGCAGACTAGTGTTTCAGGCAGATGTCTAGCTAGATTCCTGGAACTCTATAGAACCACTTTCCCTGGTAATTATTTGTTTGAGAAGCAAGAAAAGTGGTTAGGAAAGAAATTTCCCAGTATATTAAATATTTTTTTAACACACTAGCAAAGAAGGAAGCTTAAATTTACCTTTATAAATTATATTAATACATAAAATCCCTATCTTTGTTCCTAGCCCCCACTAATCAACCCATTTAAAAACCAAAACATACACAACCAGCAGTACAGTGCATTTATGCACCATGAGAAAAGTTGTGGACATGGAATAAAAATAAATATCCAGAAGAGAAGCCACAGTTTCTAGAAGAATTATAGAATTAACAGAAGATTATCTTTCTGCTCAGCTCTTTCAATCTCACAAAAAATGTAACAAAAGTAACATAACTGTTTTTTTCTAACATAAAATAATGAATTTTTTATGGGAAAGACATTATTTACTTAGTTCTGTCATTTGGAATGTTTTTCCTTTTTAACAGAACCCTCACAGCAGAGTTTTCCTTCAGAAGCTTTACTCCTTTCAAGGGTTGGTGTTAACAAGCAGCAAAGTGCTAGGATACTATGAACACTTCCTTTTATCATGCAGGATGAGGAAAGCCTTGGAGTTTTTTCCTCCTAAAAGCAAAAAATCTGAAATGCACCTGTGAGCCACAGCTAATGAAACAGATTGTTTATGAGCTCAGATCCCAGACTTTACTCCATTTGAGAGCTCCATTTGGACACGGATGCAGGACAAAAGCCGTGATTCTGTGCTGGCCTAACTTTCAGCACATCAAGGCTTGGTTACTGCCAGGGAAACACTCAAGTGCTGAAAGCAAGCAGAATGCCTGAGTGCTTGGCTGACTGAAGCACATACAGAGCAATGCAAACAACTAATACCAAGGAACTCAATTCTTGCACGCAAACAGTCTCATCGATCCGAGTGGAGAAGCAGAACTGAACAACAGCTACAGAGTCACGTATTTGTGGCAATGGGAGAAGACTATTAAAACACAAGCAGACTCCAATCCACTTACCAAAACACTGTGACATTCCCCATCTTCCTTTTCTCAGCCAATTATTACCAAGGCTGAATTTGCCCTCTTGATAGGGTGTAACCCCGGCCTTGCCTTGCTGTTGATACTGGGATTTCCCCCCCAGTGTCTTTCTCTTCTCTTCTGTCTTAACATCTGGGTAACATTTCGTGCACAGACAAATCATAGTGATGTATGTAAACAGAGACAAACATACACAATCATCACCACTAGTAAACCCTGTTCAAATACTCGGAAAAAAGCAAACAGAGCTGATGTGCACTTCACTTGAATAAGGATATTTTAATGCTGGAAAGTCACAGACAGTGACAGGGAATATAAAATTAACTGAGTGCCTCTAAGGTTTGTGGCTATAACACAAGCACAGGGAGAGTAGGAAGATGCTGTGAAAGTAGCTACTCAATTTTTTTGGCAGCTGTTCTGGTGGCATTTGCCAGCTGCTGGCATGTTTGTGCCCTTCATTTTAACCAAGCAGAAAGGCAGTGCCTGTTTAACTCCAACACGATTGGAATGCAATTACTTGCAGTGCTGTGAGAGCACCTCCTTCAATCAGTTGTATTCTTCCAAAACATTCAGATTTTGTGCTGAAAGTTTTCTGGTTTTTAACAAGTCTTTTACAACTTTGTATTGTTTGTTCTCTGAAGAATTGTGTACCCACACGTACAACTAATGGGAACCAAAGCACAGAATAAACAATAAACATCCAAACTTGGGACATGGTACTTGCTATGGAAACCTTTTCTGAACACCAAAAACCCTGAATCCTTGCTTAGGAAAAAAAAGCACTGTCTGAAGGACTAATCAATCCCGAGCAGTTGCCTGTTATATCCAGGCAAACTAATTAAACCTGTTCATCTCTGGAAAATCATCCTGGCACGAACAGTCAAATTCTCACTGTAACACATGATCTTCTCAACAAATGATCCCAAAGACAGCTGACTTTGTTAGGGGAATCAGAGAGAAAAAAAATCCACTGAAGGGACCAAAGAAGTAAATAAAATTAAGGTGGATGGGGGAAAAAAAGTGACTTGCATTTTTTGCAGTTATTTTGTAACCTCTCGGAAAAAAAAAAAGTTTTTTATTTGGATGACAGAAAATTAAATCTGTTTTCCCTCTCCTCAGACACAATTCAACATGAACAGATGTGGTATTGCTTATTAAACCAAGGCACAAGGCCAACCCCAGCAAACCCAGTAGGAAAGGTACATCTGAGCTACCTTCCAGATTGGTGGTCTCTGAAGCACATCCAGTTGCTCTGTGGAGCCACCTCTGTTGTTTTAACCCAGGACTCTGAGCCACAAAATGAACCCAGCTCCAAAAATCTACCCTCCTCTGTTCACCTCAATGGCTGCCTTGTGGCCTCCTTTTTCTTTGCTCTAAATTCAAACCATAATCAAATAGGTGAAAGAAGATACTTTGGAAGACAGAAACAGATAATAAACTGAGTGATAAGAGGTTTATAATAAATGAGAACAGCAAGTAGACAAAGCAGTTCCAAATACCTAACAGAGAGAGGAGAAAAGCCAACACAGCTCCAAAATGAGGATGGTGAGTCAGGGAACCTGTTTTGGCTCTGTGAAGTATTTCTGTTACTGTTTTCCCGTAAAATACTTCGGAACCAGTTCATCCACTTATAAGGGCACTCTGTCTCAGCAGAACTGAAACAACTAATCCCTCCTTGAGACAGATGAGTACAGGCCTTGAGGATCTGCCTACACTGCCACAAACAGGCAAACAACAGCTGAACTCTGGAAGGGATCCGGGAGCAGGGCACTGCACCAAGGTGTGAGCAGAGTGGCTGGTGGTGGAAGGGAATGAAAACAGAACCTGAGACTACACAGCAAGGGAATTGAGGATCCCAGGAGAAGCTTTTGGTGAAACAAGCTCCAGAAAGCAAAGCAAAGCAGGTGAGTGTGGTTGTGCAGCCCCACTCTAGCAGCAGTCACAAGCTGGTCCTGCTGGGAAGCTCAGGATTACAGGGAACTCCAGGGTGCTAATGCTGGGGGAGAAAGTATTTCTTTGCAGGGAATGGACACCATCTAACAAACCTGAGTCTTTGGGAATTAGGATGTGTAACTCACAAAGGAAAGACTGCAAAAAAATTGAGATTCTTTTCAGAGAGTTTACATGGAACCTACAACCCACAATCACCACCAGAGGGTGGGGACAGTAATGGCACCTATCTGGGTAACTGCAGCACCAGAAGGCTCAGATGAAGAGCAGCCAGAGACCCCTGCCTGCTATCAAACAATCCTTTCAGAAAGCACCCACTGACAACACCAGCTAAAAAAAAACCCTGGGTAGAAATACAAGGACATATGTAAATAAATGTATTTCATTAAGAGCACCATGGAAGCAAGCAATGCATGAATTCAACACAAGTGATCCAACAAATCATTTGCAGATATCACAGATTTTTGGGTTCTGATTTTTTTTTTTGTAACCTTCATCTAAATTTACCATTTAGTAAAGACTTTCACATCTGTCTGGATGACAATATTTTCTAATATGGAACTAGAAAAAATATTTTTAAATATTTAAGTCCAAGCTGTCTTCCAACTTAACAAACATAAAACTTGTTTTTGTAACAAGTAACATATTATGACCTGAAAAATAGCCATAAAAGCATTTTGGAGTATTTCAGGAGCAGTCTATAAGTCTCAATACCAATGACTTCCTTTTGGAATAAAGTTGAAAACTCTAACAGATCATCCCAGTTTGGTCATTTGTTACATCATACAACACATACATCCATACACATTTTGGCCCAGAAATTCACCATTTGTTTCATTCTCTTACTGGGTCTATATGCAGCAACCTGGAACACCTAAACTACCTAGATAAATTGTGAGAGGGGATAATGCCACTCTCAAAACAGAACTTTTTGTAGAAAAACTCCTGTGGTTCTTTATTCTCAAAGAACATGTCTTAATCCTATACCTTATACCCAGTGACACTGATAACAAATGGATGAAACTAGTCCTGTCCAGTGCCTCTAGTGAGTCTGAGATAATTATTTCTTTCTGCAGCTTTCCAATTATAATTTGTAAGACAGTATCTTCCACATTTCCTTACCAATTCCAGGCAAATGACAAACAGTGCTAATCTATATTGCATTTTTTAGTTTGTTGCATAGGAACACAACAGTACATTATTTTGTTGTTTTTTTTTTCTTAAAACACACCGTGCTACATTTATTTACAGTCAAATTACTGTTAAAACTCTTGCTAATTCCACTGACAACATAAAAATAACTTTGAAGTTCTGTATGTGGTGAAAGACTGGTTATACATACCTCTGAAAAGAAAACAGAGAGGATGACTAGGCTGATCCAGTGAATTACTCCTGCAAACTGTGAAGCACTTGAAACTGCAATTAACACAATACAATGAAGGGTCATTATAGTAGCAAAGTGCAACTCAGGTTTAATATAATTAGAACTTCCACAACTTACACATGGTAAAGTTTGCTTTCTTAAATTTTGTAATGGAAGTACCAGAAGGAGGATGGGATGCAATGGGACATGGAACTCCAGCCCTGCCAGCTGCTCATCCTAATTCAGGCAGCTCGTTGGTAGCTGCAGCAGCTCTTCACTGGAGTATTTACAGGTAACTCTGCTGGTAAGCAAGGACACACTCAGGCCTTGGCTGCTCTGTCACCTGTCCATGCTCTCACCCCATGCGCTGCTTTAGCTCGGGAGGTGTGACTAAATCCTGCACACCTAAAAATCCAGAGTTAGGATTCAGTAAGGAAACAGAATGCTCCACTATTGCCACATTACTCCTTGTATTCAGTCTTTGACAATTCAGCTCAGATGGTCAGTATTTGTCTGGAACAGGTGCTTAAAAACTAGTGCTCAGAATGGGCTCCAAATACATTTCACGCTGACAGAAAAGCACAGAAAGCTGACAGGGTCCCGTATCTGAACTGCTGGCAACTCCTACTCCCAAGTCTGGAATAAGGGAATGAAGAGAAAACATCCTCTCCTTACTTCAGGGTATTTATGAGTCTGCCATCTCCACAGCAGACAGACCAACCCAGCCTGTGTGGTTTGCAGTGCCAAAGAATGGCTGTGTGACAGCCGAGGGTAAGGCAGTCGATGGCTGTGTGCACAGAGGTGCAAGGCTGTGGGTCGTGTCCCAAGAACACACAGGGGACACGCTAAATAAAGCATTTGATTTTTAAATCAAAATCGATTAAAATGGGAAGCAGAGGAGAGGGATGTAGGAGGAAATNTTTCAGAATTGACAGTGTCTCTTGGTGACACACAGTCATTTGCATGACATTAACTGTCTGCAGCAAAGTTGGGATGGACTGTGTGATGCTGCAGGTTTTCTCTCTAATTTTGTAGGGAAGCTTGGCCAAGTCCTTTGCTGAGCCAGCAGTGTGAACTCCCACAATCTGCACGAGTTTGCTACATTTGTCAGCTGACTGCATGGTACATTAGGTAATTTTAAGTACTTTTCTGCTTGCACAGTTAATATACAACTTACTACTCAGTGAGTCACTGTGTCAGATTCACCTGTAGAGTGAAGAAATCAGAAATCACAAGGTGGCAGCACAGGAGGAGAAGCTGGTCCAGCAGGGTTTGGCAAAGGAGAGCAACTCTGCATTTTGAGACGGGGTAGTGATTGTACAAGAGAGAGACAGGATGGAGACGGGTGGAAAGGATGCTCCTTCCACTGCCACAAAACTAATCTATCTGCTACAGAGGTTCCAGAAACTCTGCAGATTAAGCTTCTGCTTTTGGATATATCTCATAAGACCAAATATTTATTGAAAGCTTTTCCAGAACAGGGTGTACCCAATCTGTAATTTACAACTCCCCCTTATTTGGGTCACTCCACAGAGGCCTTAGTTCACCCACTCATTAAAAGAATCTTCTTTTGCCATCTTCTGGTGTGCCTGTCCTGAGCCACAGCATTAGCTGTCCCAGCACACGCTGCCCCCAGGCCAGCAGAGCCCAGGGGAACGTGCTGGCACATTTAAACCAACACAGTCCTTGTGTTTGCAGGGCACAGGCACCCTCCTCACACGGCTTCTCTTCCACCAGGGCTCTGAAATGAAATGTGGACCTGCTGACCTCACCTCACCATCACCCAGCACAAACCATTCCCTGTGCCTGTGCTCTGTAGCTGCTGGGCTCTATCAGCACACGTGGTCACACAGAAAGAATTAAGTGCCAAGGCTTGGTGGCACTAACAGACACAAACCCAGTTTATTCTCTCATTAAACCACCAGGATATCATGTAGTATCCAAATGCACCTTTGCACAAACACTGCAGTTCTATTTGTTCTTTTGTTCTCCCATAATATTCGTTCTTCAAATATGAAGAAAAACAGGGAGTTTTCAACTGACAATTCTGTACAGATGTATTTTCAGGAATAAAAATGGCTTCCCAGAGACTCAACAGACTACCACAGATGGAGGCTGGGCAGAGAACTGGCCTTGCAACACAAGTTCCCTCTGGGTACAGTCACACCAGCACTGATGCTTATCTCTGAAACACAGGTGTAGGAGGTGCTGCAGGGCCACTGTCAAGAGATGAAAGCACAGATGAAGCACTGATAGAGCACACCCTAAGTCAGGTACACCCTTGAAAATTAAATGGGCAGACTAGTGTTTCAGGCAGATGTCTAGCTAGATTCCTGGAACTCTATAGAACCACTTTCCCTGGTAATTATTTGTTTGAGAAGCAAGAAAAGTGGTTAGGAAAGAAATTTCCCAGTATATTAAATATTTTTTTAACACACTAGCAAAGAAGGAAGCTTAAATTTACCTTTATAAATTATATTAATACATAAAATCCCTATCTTTGTTCCTAGCCCCCACTAATCAACCCATTTAAAAACCAAAACATACACAACCAGCAGTGCAGTGCATTTATCCACCATGAGAAAAGTTGTGGACATGGAATAAAAATAAATATCCAGAAGAGAAGCCACATTTTCTAGAAGAATTATAGAATTAACAGAAGATTATTATCTTTCTGCTCAGCTCTTTCAATCTCACAAAAAATGTAACAAAAGTAACATAACTGTTTTTTTCTAACATAAAATAATGAATTTTTTATGGGAAAGACATTATTTACTTAGTTCTGTCATTTGGAATGTTTTTCCTTTTTAACAGAACCCTCACAGCAGAGCTTTCCTTCAGAAGCTTTACTCCTTTCAAGGGTTGGTGTTAACAAGCAGCAAAGTGCTAGGATACTATGAACACTTCCTTTTATCATACAGGATGAGGAAAGCCTTGGAGTTTTTTCCTCCTAAAAGCAAAAAATCTGAAATGCACCTGTGAGCCACAGCTAATGAAACAGATTGTTTATGAGCTCAGATCCCAGACTTTACTCCATTTGAGAGCTCGTTTCTTGGACACGGGTGCAGGACAAAAGCCGTGATTCTGTGCTGGCCTAACTTTCAGCACATCAAGGCTTGGTTACTGCCAGGGAAACACTCAAGTGCTGAAAGCAAGCAGAATGCCTGAGTGCTTGGCTGACTGAAGCACATAGAGAGCAATGCAAACAACTAATACCAAGGAACTCAATTCTTGCACGCAAACAGTCTCATCGATCCGAGTGGAGAAGCAGAACTGAACAACAGCTACAGAGTCACGTATTTGTGGCAATGGGAGAAGACTATTAAAACACAAGCAGACTCCAATCCACTTACCAAAACACTGTGACATTCCCCATCTTCCTTTTCTCAGCCAATTATTACCAAGGCTGAATTTGCCCTCTTGATAGGGTGTAACCCCGGCCTTGCCTTGCTGTTGATACTGGGATTTCCCCCCCAGTGTCTTTCTCTTCTCTTCTGTCTTAACATCTGGGTAACATTTCGTGCACAGACAAATCATAGTGATGTATGTAAACAGAGACAAACATACACAATCATCACCACTAGTAAACCCTGTTCAGATACTCGGAAAAAAGCAAACAGAGCTGATGTGCACTTCACTTGAATAAGGATATTTTAATGCTGGAAAGTCACAGACAGTGACAGGGAATATAAAATTAACTGAGTGCCTCTAAGGTTTGTGGCTATAACACAAGCACAGGGAGAGCAGGAAGATGCTGTGAAAGTAGCTACTCAATTTTTTTGGCAGCTGTTCTGGTGGCATTTGCCAGCTGCTGGCATGTTTGTGCCCTTCATTTTAACCAAGCAGAAAGGCAGTGCCTGTTTAACTCCAACACGATTGGAATGCAATTACTTGCAGTGCTGTGAGAGCATCTCCTTCAATCAGTTGTATTCTTCCAAAACATTCAGATTTTGTGCTGAAAGTTTTCTGGTTTTTAACAAGTCTTTTACAACTTTGTATTGTTTGTTCTCTGAAGAATTGTGTACCCACACGTACAACTAATGGGAACCAAAGCACAGAATAAACAATAAACATCCAAACTTGGGACATGGTACTTGCTATGGAAACCTTTTCTGAACACCAAAAACCCTGAATCCTTGCCTAGGAAAAAAAAGCACTGTCTGAAGGACTAATCAATCCCCAGCAGTTGCCTGTTATATCCAGGCAAACTAATTAAACCTGCTCATCTCTGGAAAATCATCCTGGCACGAACAGTCAAATTCTCACTGTAACACATGATCTTCTCAACAAATGATCCCAAAGACAGCTGACTTTGTTAGGGGAATCAGAGAGAAAAAAAATCCACTGAAGGGACCAAAGAAGTAAATAAAATTAAGGTGGATGGGGGAAAAAAAGTGACTTGCATTTTTTGCAGTTATTTTGTAACCTCTCGGAAAAAAAAAAAGTTTTTTATTTGGATGACAGAAAATTAAATCTGTTTTCCCTCTCCTCAGACACAATTCAACATGAACAGATGTGGTATTGCTTATTAAACCAAGGCACAAGGCCAACCCCAGCAAACCCAGTAGGAAAGGTACATCTGAGCTACCTTCCAGATTGGTGGTCTCTGAAGCACATCCAGTTGCTCTGTGGAGCCACCTCTGTTGTTTTAACCCAGGACTCTGAGCCACAAAATGAACCCAGCTCCAAAAATCTACCCTCCTCTGTTCACCTCAATGGCTGCCTTGTGGCCTCCTTTTTCTTTGCTCTAAATTCAAACCATAATCAAATAGGTGAAAGAAGATACTTTGGAAGACAGAAACAGATAATAAACTGAGTGATAAGAGGTTTATAATAAATGAGAACAGCAAGTAGACAAAGCAGTTCCAAATACCTAACAGAGAGAGGAGAAAAGCCAACACAGCTCCAAAATGAGGATGGTGAGTCAGGGAACCTGTTTTGGCTCTGTGAAGTATTTCTGTTACTGTTTTCCCGTAAAATACTTCGGAACCAGTTCATCCACTTATAAGGGCACTCTGTCTCAGCAGAACTGAAACAACTAATCCCTCCTTGAGACAGATGAGTACAGGCCTTGAGGATCTGCCTACACTGCCACAAACAGGCAAACAACAGCTGAACTCTGGAAGGGATCCGGGAGCAGGGCACTGCACCAAGGTGTGAGCAGAGTGGCTGGTGGTGGAAGGGAATGAAAACAGAACCTGAGACTACACAGCAAGGGAATTGAGGATCCCAGGAGAAGCTTTTGGTGAAACAAGCTCCAGAAAGCAAAGCAAAGCAGGTGAGTGTGGTTGTGCAGCCCCACTCTAGCAGCAGTCACAAGCTGGTCCTGCTGGGAAGCTCAGGATTACAGGGAACTCCAGGGTGCTAATGCTGGGGGAGAAAGTATTTCTTTGCAGGGAATGGACACCATCTAACAAACCTGAGTCTTTGGGAATTAGGATGTGTAACTCACAAAGGAAAGACTGCAAAAAAATTGAGATTCTTTTCAGAGAGTTTACATGGAACCTACAACCCACAATCACCACCAGAGGGTGGGGACAGTAATGGCACCTATCTGGGTAACTGCAGCACCAGAAGGCTCAGATGAAGAGCAGCCAGAGACCCCTGCCTGCTATCAAACAATCCTTTCAGAAAGCACCCACTGACAACACCAGCTAAAAAAAAACCCTGGGTAGAAATACAAGGACATATGTAAATAAATGTATTTCATTAAGAGCACCATGGAAGCAAGCAATGCATGAATTCAACACAAGTGATCCAACAAATCATTTGCAGATATCACAGATTTTTGGGTTCTGATTTTTTTTTTTGTAACCTTCATCTAAATTTACCATTTAGTAAAGACTTTCACATCTGTCTGGATGACAATATTTTCTAATATGGAACTAGAAAAAATATTTTTAAATATTTAAGTCCAAGCTGTCTTCCAACTTAACAAACATAAAACTTGTTTTTGTAACAAGTAACATATTATGACCTGAAAAATAGCCATAAAAGCATTTTGGAGTATTTCAGGAGCAGTCTATAAGTCTCAATACCAATGACTTCCTTTTGGAATAAAGTTGAAAACTCTAACAGATCATCCCAGTTTGGTCATTTGTTACATCACACAACACATACATCTATACACATTTTGGCCCAGAAATTCACCATTTGTTTCATTCTCTTACTGGGTCTATATGCAGCAACCTGGAACACCTAAACTACCTAGATAAATTGTGAGAGGGGATAATGCCACTCTCAAAACAGTTTTTGTAGAAAAACTCCTGTGGTTCTTTATTCTCAAAGAACGTGTCTTAATCCTATGCCTTATACCCAGTGACACTGATAACAAATGGATGAAACTAGTTCTGTCCAGTGCCTCTAGTGATTCTGAGATAATTATTTCTTTCTGCAGCTTTCCAATTATAATTTGTAAGACAGTATCTTCCACATTTCCTTACCAATTCCAGGCAAATGACAAACAGTGCTAATCTATATTGCATTTTTTAGTTTGTTGCACAGGAACACAACAGTACATTATTTTGTTGTTTTTTTTTCTTAAAACACACCATGCTACATTTATTTACAGTCAAATTACTGTTAAAACTCTTGCTAATTCCACTGACAACATAAAAATAACTTCGAAGTTCTGTATGTGGTGAAAGACTGGTTATACATACCTCTGAAAAGAAAACAGAGAGGATGACTAGGCTGATCCAGTGAATTACTCCTGCAAACTGTGAAGCACTTGAAACTGCAATTAACACAATACAATGAAGGGTCATTATAGTAGCAAAGTGCAACTCAGGTTTAATATAATTAGAACTTCCACAACTTACACATGGTAAAGTTTGCTTTCTTAAATTTTGTAATGGAAGTACCAGAAGGAGGATGGGATGCAATGGGACATGGAACTCCAGCCCTGCCAGCTGCTCATCCTAATTCAGGCAGCTCGTTGGTAGCTGCAGCAGCTCTTCACTGGAGTATTTACAGGTAACTCTGCTGGTAAGCAAGGACACACTCAGGCCTTGGCTGCTCTGTCACCTGTCCATGCTCTCACCCCATGCGCTGCTTTAGCTCGGAATGTGTGACTAAATCCTGTACACCTAAAAATCCAGAGTTAGGATTCAGTAAGGAAACAGAATGCTCCACTATTGCCACATTACTCCTTGTATTCAGTCTTTGACAATTCAGCTCAGATGATCAGTATTTGTCTGGAACAGGTGCTTAAAAACTAGTGCTCAGAATGGGCTCCAAATACATTTCACGCTGACAGAAAAGCACAGAAAGCTGACAGGGTCCCGTATCTGAACTGCTGGCAACTCCTACTCCCAAGTCTGGAAGAAGGGAATGAAGAGAAAACATCCTCTCCTTACTTCAGGGTATTTGTGAGTCTGCCATCTCCACAGCAGACAGACCAACCCAGCCTGTGTGGTTTGCAGTGCCAAAGAATGGCTGTGTGACAGCCGAGGGTAAGGCAGTCGATGGCTGTGTGTGCAGAGGTGCAAGGCTGTGGGTCGTGTCCCAAGAACACACAGGGGACACGCTAAATAAAGCATTTGATTTTTAAATCAAAATCGATTAAAATGGGAAGCAGAGGAGAGGGATGTAGGAGGAAATTAGGATAGAAATAAAACTGTGAGTATGGGCTGCCACTGGAACTCTCACTGCTGAGGTTCTTCTGGGGCTTGATGAGAGAATGTTTGCTCTGATGCAGCACAGGAACTACCTGATGAAACAAATGGGCAAAATATAATATATTTCACTTTCCCAAGGCAGTGGAAACCGTTTGGATGCTGTTTTTCCAGCAGTGTCGATTGACCTACAAGGCTCCAGCTGCCCCCCGGTGGAAAAAAAAAGATACAGCAACCAGAATTTGGGGAGAAAACCCATTTCTGATGCCACACTAACTGAGCACTAGCTGCGCTGTACGCCCTGCCAGACAGGGGGCAATTAAATTGCCAGTAAAACAGTAAACCCGAAAAAGCCTTCCAAACAAGCAGCTTTTGCACAGGAATTGAATCAGCAGCCCATACACGGAATCTGGATATTTGCCTCTTCCAAAACACTCCCTTTAAAAAATGCTGTGAAAAGCTACAAAACCAGAAGGGGCTTCTACAAGAGGTGCTCATTCCTGCCCTGTGGTGGTTTGGGTACATCACTGGGATTCAGTTTGAGGCAAATCACCTATGCTATTCAGCTTTTACTTTAATCTGGAACCCAGTTTCACATTTGCTGAACTTCTAACTTTTTTTTCCCCCTAAAAGCTAAAAGCCAAAAAGTTTTGCTTTGCTTCACATTTTTCTTGTCTGGTGCTATAGGGAAGAAGTGAATGCAAATCCAGGCGTTTTTTAGTCATGAAGAAGGATAAAGAATAAATCAATATAAAATGCAGAGTACAGCCAAACTCAGTTCACCTCCTCCCCCTTTCCCTCACTTTCACATCTCCTCAAAACATATATCCAGAGGTGAGGGATGAAGGATACACCCTGACAAACCCTAAGTGACCACCACAGAAGCTTGTACTACCAGCACCTGCTTTCAGTGGCTGTTCCTCAGGGTGGTTTCCTGGCAGACACCCACTGCAGGGAGTCGGGAGCCCTGAAGCCCCTCTTTCTGAGGGGGAGAAAGGTGAGGTGCTGCTGCACCAGCCCCTGTGTTTCCTTTGGCAGCTCTGCAGGCACTCAGCCAGGAACCAGATCCAGCAGCCAAACTGACAGGAGTGGAGCTTCTCAGTTTCAGGGCCTTCAGGGAGGCCTGTTACAGATCCACCTGCTGCAGCTCATTGCAGGAGGAGGGCACTATAAGATCATTTCCTGAGTTGCTTTCCCCTTCTGAGGTGTTAGGGTTGGAAACTGCCACAATCCTCTTTTTTTTTTTTTAAATGAAGTGCAAGTGAGTTAATATACATCTATTTCTGCATTTGCAGAACATCACTGTTGAGATGTTATTTTGTTAATGCTTGTGAGCAGCTTTGAAGACAGAACTTAAAAAGCAGATTGTAGGACAGAGACTCATCATAAATAAGACCTATTATGTGTCCCCTGCTTTCTGAGGTTTCTAATTCTGGTATGAATATGCTTTGTGATAAAATACCCTACAAGGTCTCTGTACTTTTCATGTGTGTGACCCCCAGTTTGCAAATGTGGTGTCCATCTCTGCAACCGGCAGCTTTGTGCACTGTGCAACCAAAGATTGCACTGAAACCATGGAGGAAAATGATGCTCTAAAAATGTCACAGCTAAAGAAAACACCAGGGTTTCTTTTGTTGCATTTTTTTTTTTAATAAAGGGAGGCTTCCTAAGGAATTACAGTCTATAATGTGGATTAGCAGTTGTCATTACAAACAAAATCGGCAGTGATGTGCTGTGACATACCCTAATGTACTGGTTGATTTTATATAGAACAAGGAATCCTTTAAAACTGTAATTACATTTTTGAAAAACATAATTATGGGCTAATGGCTTTTCAAAACCTTAATGTAAGCGACACATATAGCACAACTGCAATACTTATAACATCAGCCCCACCAAGACAGCCTTTATCTGATTTAAAACAAGATAGAAGGTATTGAAACAAGGCAAAGACAAAAGGCCTGATGGGAAGATTCATTAGTTAAAATGTAAAGTAGCAACACAAGTGGAATGGGTCCTTCCTCAGGTGCTGAGAAAATCCACACAGGCAGGGGCCACCTCTGAACAAGGAAGTCACCTGGCCCAGCCAAACACCTACAGCTCATGCACACGGTGTAAGCTGCAGAGCTTTTAAGAGTGTCACATGCACCAGACACACAGAGGAGGAATGAGTCCTAAAATAAAGCCTTCTTCAGAAAATGCTTCAGAAAGTAAACAGTAAGAAAACAGGTGCTTCCAGAGGAGAGTGTCCAAAACTGTCAAAACTCTATGAGAAATGAACAAAAACAATTTTTAAACTCTCTGGCTCTACAGGGAGTGATAATTCCTACATCGACAGAAAGATGTGACATCTCAATAAATATTGTTGAAAGCCTCTTCCTCATTCATTTCTTAAGGACTTACACCCATAATTAGCATTCCTGACTTTTTTGAAAGCAGCAGACTTGTCCAAATGCTGGGCTTCCTCATCCAAAATGGGAAGTGACCAGAGACTACAGAAAATAACAACTGGAACGGAGTGGCCATGTCAGAACAGCGTGTGCAGCATGGACAGACAGGTGTAAATGGTGAGCAACAGTGGGGGGTGACAGCTCAGCCATTTATTCATCTCACAGAGTGTATGAAATGGCTGCAATTATCAACAAAGTCCCCTAAAATAATCTTAATACAATTGCAATACCTAAGTCTTTGCTCCACTACAATTGGTTGACAAATCACAACAGTAAAAGGACTTTGACAGAATAAAAATTTGGTTTGTTCAGTTTAAAGTTGCCATGGAAAAAGACACCAGGCCACGACTCTTTTGTGCTATGTGTTCTTGCATTTAAGGGATTGTCTGAACCCCAACTGCCATTTCAGCACATTTGAGATTGTATGGAGATGGGAGAGGCTGCTCCTCAACACTTAGCAGAGGCAAAAGTGTAGCTGATATTTGTGTTCATGTCAACTTTGTATCATAAAAGAAAAAAGGGGAAAAAAAAAGAAGAAAAAACGGGTGGAATGGAGGAAAAGAGCAGAAGGGGAAAAAAGAAGATGAATTAGGAAGCAAAACAGAAGCATTAAAATTTCCACTGTGGAACCTGTGCAGAGTGAATTCAGATAAAGCGAGACTCCATTTAAGCTATTATTTGACTCACAGTGCATCAGCAAAGTAGAATGAAAATCTGTATCATTTCAGTGCATTACAAGCTAGAAAACTGTAATTTCAATTCCTATCCACCTCAGCAGAAGTAAATTAATAATAGAAGTAGCACCAAAACGCCTGGTATGTTCATCACTTCTGTCTACCCACATGTGATAAGCATCAGAGATTAATGAGGCACAGGTTTTTTTTCTGTGCATATGTAGCATGTCTGTAAAAGACAGACCTTTTCAAGTACTAATGACAGCACATGTGAACCTCTGCATGTACACTCTGCTTGTAGCCTTTGAAAATTTGTCCTATACTGAATTTGTTAGTTGACCTGAATTTGGTCAGCAAAATAAGGAAGAGACTGACTTCACTGTACCAGGGTTCCACAAAAACACATTTCTTACCTAACCTAGTAATAATTTAAATGGTAGGAAAAAAAATCCCCACCATCCTCCCCCCTTCAAAAACCTCCCAGTAAGTTAAGCCTTTATTTTATCAAAATTAAAAAAAAAAAAGAAAGAGAAAAAAAAAGAAAAAGAAAAAAAAATCCTCCTACTCACACTGGAGAAGCTTTATATCTATTAGGAGTTCCAGAGTCAGAAGAATCACCACCAATACTACACAGGCTACCAGGAAACTGTTGAGACTTGCACTGAGCAAAAATACCTGCCACACAGCTGCTCGTCTCCCACAGCACGGTTTTAGCCAGTTAGATCTAAAGAAATAAAATTAGGGGAAAAACAAGAAAAGAAAAGAAAAGAAGAAGAAGTGAAAAAGGAAAAGAGCTAAAGAGCAGTGAACTCAAAATTACAAGTTCTGCTGTTATGGATACACTCAGCAATAATGCACAAAGACTTTGCAAAATTCACTTTCACTGGTTTCCTGACCAAGAAAAACACATAAAAAACCCCTTTCCCCTGGGGATTTTGTGTGTCCCCCCAGCTGTGCAGTGCACTGGTGTTCAAGTGCCTTCAGTGCATGGAGTGATGCAGCCCTAATTATCACACACACACTTCTACTTTCTTCCTGTCTGCCCCTTTTCCACGTGCTCTCACTTTGACAGACACGCTGCATTCCCTTCTCTGGGAGCACCAAGGCACAGCAGGGCTCTGCTATTCATAAGTCAATGATGCTTTTTTTTAAGAATTTCTCTGCTGTTGAATTTTATGGTCGTTCCCCTTTATCCCTGCTCTGCTATGAGACGGATCTGACAAGGGCTGCCAAATTTGGTTTGCAACAATCAGTCCACGACCTCGTGGAAAGGAGCAATAGGAATCTGGAAAACACCAAAGAATGATTCCATAGCTACACCTGCAGTAGCAAAGGCACACACCTGGCTAAGTGTCAAACCTCTGACCAAGGCTCTCTCACTTGCCTATCTCTCTAACTCTCACCACTCTGCTCGTGGATCAGGCCAAAAATTACTTTCCTGGAGTTTGGGGTAACACAGTTTTGGGGACAACATGCACCAGGGACTGCTCCCAAACCTAGTTTAGATGACATCACCTTGTTTTAGAGGAAAAATAAGGTTTAGGCAGGATGCAGTTAGGAGGAGGCTCCGAGGACCAGAATTCTGGACAGAGGTTGATGGATCTGCAAAGGTTGCACTAATGCAGATACAAAATTACAAGGGGGCTGCTAAAAAATAATTTTTTTTTTCTTTTGAGAGTATTGGTAATGACAATACCAGTAGCATGGACTTCAGAAGCATAAAGCACATCCTGATACTTTTTTCCTCCTAAACCACCCCCACACCCCTCCAGTTTCACTTTGATACATATAATTTCTCATCAGAGTGCTCTCAGTGTTCCTGTCCTGGCTCACCTCAGGAAGTTCTGGTGGGGTATTGCCTGACACTTCAGATTTTCCAAGCACTGTAAATACACTTTAGGTAATGAAAAGCTGACATGATTTATTGACTAGGCTTAAAAAGCTGCAAGCACACAAGTGTGGTGCAGTAACCCCACCGAACTAAAATGACAATACACAGAAACCATTGGTACAGAAGAAGATATGATGGTACTGATCATTTCCAAATAAACAGCTCTAGACTCAATAACTCCTGTTATAATCAAACACTTGGAAAAACATCACAAAATGTTCTCTGACGTACCCACACTCAGAGATGGGGGAGAAAGTGATGCCAAGCAGTGCTCAGAGACTTGACACTTTCAAGCAGCTTCTCAGAATTAAGCACATCAACACTTGCCTCAGACTGCCTGATTACCTGACTGTGAGAGACCTCCTCAACTGACTCTTAAAACTTCAGAGAAGATTTGACAAGTGTTACTATCAGGAACTTGCCCTTAGGTTAAACTTGGATATGCTTCAAGCCTGAATACAGAATGCACTACGTTTTAAACAGGTAGTTTTAAAACATAAGGCAAATTAAAAAAGGCATTGGGATAGGGCCTTTTTTCCAATTTGATCTTTTAATGGATTTTATTTTACATCACCTCAAAATAGGTCAACTTGTTTTTAATGCAACTACGATTTTGGGCTTGGGTTTTTTTTTTAGATTTTCTAAAACAACGAGGGGGCATGGCCCTGTTTAAACAGAACAAACTTTAGTTTGATTCTCCACTTACATTTATCTTCCCTATTCCAACAGTCCCGTTATCCAGCATTTTAATGTTGCAGGGCAGCTTTTCCTATTCTCAGAATGATCAGTAGAGGGCCCAAGTACAATCCTTTAAAAGCTCTACAGAGTCAAGATTTTCAAATATACAAACTGTACCAGTAAAAATAAACCAAAAGTTTATTATATAAACAATTACATATAGCCATGATAATCATTACTCAAGCTATTAATTACTTACAGAATCCTAAAGCACACAGAGTTATTCTCTCTGTTCAGTGTTATCATTCAGTATCAATAACATTTGATTCTAAAAAGCTCCTGAATGAAACTGTGAGCTTACAACTGCAAAAAGCAATCAGCTTAAGAGGTCAGTGGCAGCTCATCTGCATGTTTACACCCATATTTCACTCTAAAAAGGGCCCTGTGTGGTTTTTTTCCTGGGTGCTGCTTAGCTACTTCTTACTCCTGCTACTTCTCTTCCCTGCTACTTCTACACTCCTGTACAGTCCAGTCCTGATCTTGTCTTGTTGTTTGTTTTTTTTTATTTTTACTTCTTACCTCTTGTAAAGGATGGACATAAATAACAAAAGGAACTATAATCCAACTAGAAATATATTTTAGATAAACCTGATGACCTGCTAACCACACTGACTCCTAATACCCAAATCTCCTCATCTCTTCAACCCTGTAACCTGTTTAGTAGAGTAGCACTAATTTCTCCCTTCTGAGGTGGAAGGGCTCATCCATTCAACAGATGAAAAATCCAGTTTTGGAGAAAAACCAGATCCCTACTAGAATTAGTGTGGGTTTAAACTTACCTTCCAAATTCTGGCCATTTCACCTGTGACCCTGCAAAGCTGCACTTAAATTTAAAGCTCAGATTAGAAATGTAGCTACACAGACTTTCCAAAAAAAACCACCAAAACCCCCAGAACTTACAGACCTCTTCATAAATATATGACATTACACACTAGTCACAGACAAGGAAAAAATCTTTTTCCCTCACTTCAGACAGAAATGAGGAAAAAAAAATTTCCCCCATCCTCAAAAAAACCAAACCAAAACATAAAAACCACACCATCAAAAAACCTCAAACCAATAAAATAGTCCTCAATTTTGTTCAGAGAACAAGCCCACATTCTCCTGGTGTCCTGACTGTGTTTGCTTGAATCCACAGACAAGTATGACTTAGGAGAACTTTCCTGTGTGAAAGTTCAAACATGTTCATCAGGTACCTCAGCTACTTCATCTCTAAAACAGGAATATTATTGACCTTTCTTGCAATTAATGGATGAATTAAATAAATGCACTAGCACAGGAATTTTGTGGTTGATGGTGACACAGGGCTGTAAAGTTTTGTTCTGAGACATTAAAATATATTTAGTGGAATTTTACCAGGGGTAATTCTTTTTAAAGATACTTTCACACATGGCTTTGTGCAAAACCAATCTGTCATCATCACTGCTAGTCTTATTAATAAACAGCTTGGAAAAAAAAGAACATAAGGCAAAACTGGGAAAGGTTGAACATATTTATTTGGTAAGGAATCACTACAATTTCTTCAAGCTGTTAACAGCTGTCATTGTTTCTATTTTCTGTTCTTGTAAAGAAATACCCCCAAATCTGCATTATACCTTACCCTGTCTTTTTGTTTTTCTTTTGGCTAAACAGCAAGTGTTTGCATCTCACAAGATGGCTAGGATCAGACAACAGAAGGATGGAGGAGATCCAAATCCCTATCTGAAGAGTAGAAAGGCCATGGTCAGGAAGTGACAGGAACACAGAAAGGCTAAATAACAATACAAAATCTGGCTGAGAAGCACAGACAGCAGAACCTCACAGCAGGCAAGAGGAGCTGGAGGCCTTGAGCAACTCACTCCAAGGAACAGACAGAGCTCTGCACCCCTTTCCCAGACTTCTCCTACAAGCTTGGTTTAACTACTGAGAACACCCTCATCTTTTTTTCCCTAAAACTTTTACTATTCCAAACCCCACAACGCTTCTTGTAAGACTGCAGCGAAACTGCAGCTAAAAGGGCAGGAAAGATTGCCCCAGTTTTCTCCCTAAACTCACCCATGGCCAGTTTACACACACTTGTTCTTGTGCCAACATTATTCTTTAGCTTGATTAGTTCTCTTCCCTTGCTGGCATTTTGTCTGTGATGCATTTCCACACAGTAATGGCAGCCACTCATGTAATTCAATTAAAGCCCACGCTTTTTGTAGAACAGACACTCAGTCTCAGTAACTATCCTGGTGGCCTCTTCTGCATGTGAATACAGACTACTGGAGCAGTGCATAATATTTTGGAATAGGTTTAATTAATTACATGAATGCTTCCCAGCTCTATTTGAAGCACTTTATGCTTTCTAGGATCATTTGTGCCTTCTTTATAGGTGTGTAACACACCATTTGCCCACAGATAACCTGTGATTACCTGGCCTATTACTTCTCTCACTTGAAAATTGCTTATTAGGTTTTTCCTTTTTATGCTAAAATCTTTAGTGAAGTATCCACATCAGGCTGAAAAACTACCTTTAAGAAACATAAGAACAGCTGTACTAAGCCAGAACAAAGGCTTGGCATCCTGTCTCCAACAGTGGCCATGAGCAGATGTCTCAAGATGAGTAAGAACATAGCAAACATATAAATACTTCCCCTTAACATTCTCACAGCATCCAACTATTTTCAATTTGGTGACTTCCTGAGATAGATGTGTTTTCTCAGACTGTACTTAGCAACCTTCAATGAATTTCTCTTCCACAAACTTGTCCAACCTCCCCTTAGGGAGATGAGTTATTAGCAGCCACACAGCCTTTAGAAAGTAGCTCCAGGCACCTACTGCCCCCTGTGCAAAGAGCAACCTCTTTTTGCTTCTTTGGAACCCGGCCTTAATCTATTAATGTACCCTAGAGACTGTGCTGGGAGAGGGGAGTGTGGGTGTCTAACCTTATTTTAACCTCTCTGTGTCACAGACTTTGTAATGTCAATCAAATCTCACATCAACCTTCTCTTCTCCAGACTGAAGAGTCCTAGTTTACATAGTCATCTCCAGTGAGATGTTGTATCACACCTTTGATCACTGTTTGCCTTTGATTCTTTTCCAGTTCTTTTATATCTACCTATCCTTTTTGA